TTTCCCGTGTTATTCAAGTGTTATTGTGTTTTATTCATGTGTTATTGTATCCTGAGAATATTCTTGGTGTTATAATAACACAATAACAAATCAATAACACATGAATAACACACAATAGCACATGAATAACACGGGGAGAATATTTTCCATTTTACTGCACCGTTTTTTTTTCTTCTGTCGCGCGTGGCGTGATTTTATTGGCTACGCACGGTATTTTTATGTACGTAATACTTGATGTAATATTTTTTCCACTCCTACCTGATATCACATTCTTTTTCTCCATGTGTTCTATTTCTCCCAACTCTCTCTTAAATCGGTACATTTTTTTTGCATCTTGTTACTCTTATAAATGTGAAGTCATCAGCGCCGGACGCTGTGGCCATAACCCCACTGAAAGAAATACGAGTGATTCATGTATACCAATGTGATCGATAGGTTTGATAGATTTTATTAGCTTCTATATATGGATTTTACTTTATGTAGAAAAATTCTTTTGAATTTGTGTCAATATATTGAATTATCTGAGCATTTTTGTCATTTGCATAACAACAAAAAAAAAAGGCTCATTCCATTTAGTGTAGGTGTAAGGATTTGATGTTTATGGTATCTATATTTAAGTGTTAGGTAATTTAGTGATATTATTGAAGAAAAAATATATTTATTAGAGTTCGACATTCTGGTAGGCATAATAGACTTCATTCTTATGCACATTGCTTTTAAATATCATGTGTTCTTATTCTAAGTCTACAAATATTTTAATAATTAATGAAAACATAGTACATTTATAATGGAGGATATTTTTACCATATTTTTTATATCAACATAATGAATGGAGTATGGACTATGACCAATAGGGGCTTCAAAAGATGCACGATGAGAAAAAAAATGATAATGCATCATGTTGAATGTGAAAAATATATTTCCCTCATTGGAAAAAGGCGAAAATCTGAGTATCAGTTACAGTTTATGGGTCGATTGGTATTGCAATTGTACGTACTTCTGACACTATTTGCAAATCTTAGAGAATTCATCCTCTTCTTTCAGAAGTATCAATCAAAAGTATCATTATCATTAAGTTTTGTGCGCAAGTTTTTTTCCTCTAGAGTGACTCCTATACTTTCTTGAGTCTTTTTCCTAAAGGATGACTTTTGCCTCATTCTCTCATATGCACCTAAAAAAAAAGCAGCTGCGAATCTTCAATAAAGAGTACTCTTTATCAGCATATATGGGGTTGTTATGCATTTGAATCTTCTTGGGTTGGTAACCTTCAACAATCTTTCCAGTCTCCAACTAGTGGACATAATGGTCTATTAAGCTCTTTACCCTTTTGGTTTTTACCTCTATTGCTTTGGGTTCTTCAATAGTGGGCAGGATTAGCCTCTAAGGAGTTCCTTCCCCCAAGAGAATGCACATGGATAGGAGATCAACCACTTGACTATTCTCCATGGAAACGTGCTCAATTTTGAAGTTGGTAAACTTTCATATCTCAATTTTAGCTTTTCTGAGGTACTTAGCCATCATCTCATATATGGCTTCAAATTCTCCATTCACTTGATTCAGGACTAGCTGTGAATATGACTTCAGATCGAGATGTTGGGCGCCAATTTCATAGGTTAGATGCACGACAACAATTAGACCCACATATTCTACCTGGTTATTTGTGACTTCAAACTCTATTTTGGATGAGTTGTAGAGATGATCTTCAGCCAGAGTGCTCAGATTAAGTTTGAGATATGCTACCGTCTGTTTGGAGGCTCCATCAATGTGTAAGATCCAGGTCTAGTTGTTGGTAGTGTTCCCTTCATCTGGTTTGCATGGTTTGAAAAAATCTGCTAAGAAATTAGCTACCACCTGTGTCTTGATTGTGATCAAGGGGACATAGGATTTTTTGAACTCCCTTAGCTTCGATGCCCACATAAGAAGCTGATTGGAGTGCTCCAGACAAGTGAGAACAAAATTAAGTGGGTGGTCAATTAGGACCCAAATTGGATGTGTTTGGATGTTGGGTCGAAGCCTACAAGTTGTAATAATAAGAACAAAAGTTATATTTTTTCATAATAAGATACTTGACTTCAACACCTCTAGGGACCCGACTAGTGTAGTAAATTGAAAATTATTTCCCTGGTTCTTTTATGATTAGTTCTGAGCTAATTGCTTTTGGTCAAACTCCAGAATATGGAGAGAGTACTTCATTTGGATTAATGGTGGTAATGCCACGGAATCTTTTAGCTGCTTGAATGCTTTTTTGCACTTAGTTGGCCATTCAAAGCTCTTTGCCTTCCTCAGTATTTTGAAAAATGCTGCACAGTTGTTGCTCAACTTTGAAATAAATCGCTCAGACCTGCTATCTGACTAGTCAACTTCTACACTTCTTTGATATTTCAGAGTGATGACATGTTGAGCATTGTTTATACTTTCTCAAGATTGGCTTTTACTATGATTGTTGGCTAGCTCCAACAATTCGACTAAGTTTTTTGGTTGCTAGAGACCTCCTGAGCTAGGTCAGTGTGTGCTACTATGGGTTACATATCCCTCACTTCCAGCATCTCCTTCTCGGAAAGCAATGATAAACGAGCAAAGGCTCTCATTTTGCCCTTCCTGATTTGTTGCAGTACCTGAAAAGTTTTTTGTGGCTTCTGAGTGCTATCAAGTTGCGCCACAAACATTCTATTGAAGTCAAATAAGGAAGTGATCACTCCCACCGATTGAATCACTTGAGCGTCAACTCCCTTAAAGTAGTGAAGTGCAGTCAACACTTAAGTTTTTCAATGATCCTTAGAAGATAGAACGTTGATTCAAATGATGTTAGATGGTCGTTCAGACCAGTCCGACATTTATAGGACTCCAACAATGAGATTTTGAATTTCTCTAGTGATTTAACATAGGAATCTACTGAGATAATACATTCTCTAGCTAATTGGGAGCCTTAGCACGTCCAAATTGTCGTCTATCAAACTGAGTGGATCCAATGTTGTCTTAGTATTGGGAATCTCTTATTCTTTCTGAGGCTTGAATTATTCATCGGACATTATGTGTCAGCACTTCCTCCTAATGGTTCTCCTCGATTGCTTCTTAGATGGCTTCTATTATCTGACCAATCATCTAGTGCTTCAACTCTTGTATTTGTTATTGCACACACTCTCTAGTGCACTCCAAGTTTGTAGTGTCTCTTAGGTGGATTTGATCTTCTTCTTGTGGTGCTCCTTTTCTTGTTGTTGACATGATCCATGCTCACCTCCCCTTTTAAGATACTAAATCGTGATTTGTCCTATGAATCACACCCAAATAACAGAGCATATGGTAGGAGAGAGAGAGAGAGAGAGAAGAGTTCACGGTAATGAAAAGTAAAATGAGAATGATTCCCTATTTATTGACAAAGGGGTACAATATGTGAAGTTACGTTTATGCTATTGCTTACGTGGGAGTCGTACATATTATTTTAGATATTTCACTCTTGTTGGTCCAGAGCCTTGTTGTTCTCTGGCTCAACTAACTGGGCTTGGTAGTATTTTGGAGAACTTTGTCTGTCAGGTGAATCTAATGAATGCTGCTTATCGACTATGCTATTAAAGACTTGGCGGATGTGGAGAAAATGAATCGATTTGTGTTGTTGGTAATCTAGATCTGTGGATGTTGTCGGTTGGTTGGTCTTTTACTATTTGGGGTTCGATAGGACTGATATGATTGACTAAGTCTTATCAATCGATTGGTATAATCTGGTTGTCGGCTCTGTTCCCCGTTAAAGAACTTTTGTCTTTACAACAATGCTAGATTGTCAAGCAGAGGGTGAATAACTGTAATCCTACAGATAGCTTACCCAAAGATGAAAAGGTCCAAGGGGATGGCTACTGGTTGTCCCCAATATTATTATTATAAGATTTGGGGGATTGTATTCTTCATTGGGTTTAAATGCATCAAGTTATTGGGTTCAGATGATTATTTAGGTTGTGTCTGGGTGAGTTGATTGGCACGTGTCATGTACTCATCCTTATAACAGTTGATTCAAGTTTGGTTCATTTGGCTGGGCATTTAGGCCGCTCGGGATATTCCGCTGGTGGGTTCACCCTTAAATTTTCCTTTTGGCTTTTAGACCATCAGATCTCCTCGAGATCCGCACTAGCATATTTTATGTGTACAAGGTCAACCTAAACTTAGAATGTTTTTGTTAAGTTCGGGTCGAGCTGGTGGGTGTGCCAATTTTTGCTACTCCTAAGTGCGTCTCAATTCTGCCTAAGAAAAGCAACAACCAACTATCACAAATTGTTTTAAGGAAAATCTCTTCAACCATAGACAATAATAATAATAATAATAATAATAATAATAATAATAATAATAATAATAATAATAATAATAATAAAAAGAAAATTTACATGCATACCACTCAATTACGATACATTTACATACTTACAACCTAAACATTAAATTTTACATACATATCAGTATAATTATAGATGTAGAAGATGAGTTTCACTTTTCAAAATTAAAGTTAATGTTATTTTTTATGTGATATGAAATATTTCAATGACATAATTTTATTACATGCACATAACTCTTGGCATGTATTTCACTTTTTTAATTTTAAAGTGACCTGAAAATATTGGGTGACATATTTTAGAAGCAAAATTTAGATGTTAGTATGAAAATTCATGACAATTGAGTGGCATGTACCTAAATGTCCCACTCGCTGAAAAAAACCAAAAGAAAAAAGAACTAGTCTCTACCTAATGCAACCTACGTCGCCTCGCCGGTCAAAAGAACTAGTCTCTACCTAAGCAGCCGCGCTTACGCATCAGGTCACAAATCCTCGCGTGCAGGCACGGCATCCTCGCACCATTTCAAATACACGCATCGAGGAACCCCTGTTCCTCTACCACGCGCTCCCGTAGACAAAAGAGAGATGGGACATGAGGACGAATGCCAGTGCAGACCATTGGGTTTCTTGCTCGGATTGCCCTTCGCCATCCTCGCCTTGGCCCTCTCACTCATCGGCGCTGTCATCTGGATTATTGGGTATTGCCCTATTTCCCCTTCTCCCTTCGCTCTGTACTCCGAATACCCTAATCTACTTTTCTCTAACCCTCCGTTGTAACTATGTTGAGTGCGATTACAGATCCGTGTTGAGCTGCCTTTGTCCGTGCTTCGTGTGCTGTGCGGGACTGGCGAATTTGGCTGTGGATCTTATCAAAATGCCCATCAAGGTCATACGGTGTTTCATCGAGCAAATCCCTTGTTAGGAAGCAATCTGCTTTACTTTTTCCTGAATTGTTCTCATTCTTCTTTTTGAGATCCACTATATATTTATGAGACTCTTTGTATTTTTTTTCCCCCACAAAGTAAAAAAAAGCTAATGAGGATGATTTTATCGTCTTTTTTTTAATGTTTGTGTTTGATTGGTAATCTTTTGCTGATGATTGAGAGTGGGTACGTCTTAATTTTAAGGGATGTTTAGCAATAACTACATATGAGGAAGTTTATGCTGCAGATCCCATAAATAATTCTAAAAAATGTATTCTTTAAGAGAAACGAAATTTATGGAATTTGTTCTGCTGAATTAAGGCATGTGAATCCTTTTTGTGATAAATACCGTGAAAAACATTAGGTTGAGATATCCTGACTTGGATAAATTTTAGAACTTGACGTGATTTAAGGTTTGGCATGTGTATAGGATACTTGAAATTTAGCCGTTTGTGTGTGTGTGTGTGTTTTTTTTATTTTGTTTTTTTTTGAATTTGAATGGCATGGACATTCTGGTAAATGTCTCCATCAATTAATATTGTATTCGTGAGATGATGATGATGATGATAATTGATGCATGCTAGAAGATTCGTCGTGGCGGTGAAGTAATAAGTTATTGTTTTAACACAACCATATAAAAGTAGATAATAGTAGAGACACCAAAAGTTTTTATTAGAAAAATTGAAGAAAAAAAATCATGTGGCTTTGTCCATATGAAAAGTTTCAGTATGAGTTTGTGATTGTATTCACAATAACTTGTCTCATAGGCGAAAAAGAGTTGCACATTTTCTCAAGCTACAATGTTCGTGCGGAGCGGGACTTATTGCCCCACGATAGGGACCACTCACAACATGACTTAATTGATAAAGCTTTAGTGCACCTTCTTCAAGCTTGGTACAGTGTTCGCGATGATGCACATCTTCGTAGGTTGTTCGTGACTCCACGATATAGGTTGTTGCTTTGCACGGTGTTTCGCTGCAAGGAACAAGTGTCGACCAATGAGTGGTGGTCAACAGCTGCAGGAGCAATAAGCATTCGTCGGATTATTGGTGCAGAATACTGGATATCAGTTCTCTCTTCTCCAAGCTCTGGTCCCTCAGGCTCAAGGTATAGTCCCCTTCTATGGAAGAGTAGGGCTATATTTATAGAGTCCAAATTGTAAATAATGAATGAATCTGTATCTCTATTATCAAACTGCCTAGAGAGATTTCTTTGATCAGTCGTCTTTTGGTGGACATTTAAATGCTTTAATGATGTTAAATTGAGCGATATTGAGTTTGTTCGATTTTTCTTGTCGAAACACTCGATTTGATTATAAGCTTGTCATATTCAAAATCTATTTGGTCTTTCAATTTTGCATTCAAAGCTTTCAAAAGTGATTTAATGACTTGATATATGCTTGATTTGATTCGAATTGAACCTATTTTGGTATCATTGGGTCTGTCTTGTCGAGCCAATCAGTTTGACTATCAGCTTGCTGAAATTGGAGTTCTTGATGACTTTTAGTCGAATCTTGATTGTTTCTTACTCAAAATGTTGCCTCAAGATTCATGTTGGACGACAAAATTTTGTTGATGGTGTATCAATGATGATGATGATGATTATTATTATTATTATATTTAAAATAATTTTGTTTTACCTCTAATGATAATAATTTAATTGGTTGCATGTAATTATTTTAATATTTTTGTAATGTGTTCACGAATTTGCGGTGGTAGAGTCATACATTAATGTCTTGGTGTTGTACGAAGATTCGACACACACAGATAAAAAAATGACTAAAAGGACAACATGTGTTCTTATGTGGAAACCTGGAAAGGAAAAAAATCATGAGGTCTTACCTAGTTAAAATAGTTCTTTTATGTCAATGTAGATTACAATACTTTACCTATCATTCACTAGTCAAATGCAATATTACACCAATGTGGGTTATCAACATGACTTCCACTAGGGGAGCGGTGAAATATGCTTGGGAAGCGGCTACGAACCGTCTATTTTGAAGGAAGAGTAATGATAAAGGTTGAGTGCCCAAAAATCTAATGTCAGCATAGTGGGTAACGATAGTGATCCGGTGGTGGCAATGGTGACGATCGGGAAACAATGGTCAAAGAGTGATAGCAGTCTGACGATGGTGCCCTCTGGACAACGATGGTTTGATTATAACAATGGCCTAACAATAGTAGTTGGGCAATTGTGGTTTGACGACGGCGACTATGACAAATGTCGGACAATAATGGTCCCATGATGGTGACAGCTCGACTGTGATGACCGGGCAATGGTGGTCTGGTGGTGGCAATAGCCAGACAACGGTGGCCTGACAACTTGTGGGTCGACGATTGTGGTGGCTTGAAGGTCATGGTCGGACAACATTGATCCAATGGAGACTATGGTCGGACTATGGTGATTTAATGGAGACAATGATGGTTCGGTGGTACTAGCAATCGTGGTTCAACGACAACGATGGTCAGGAAATGGTGTTCTAGTGGTGACGACGATGGTGTTGGGCAGCAGTGGTCCGGCGATGACGATGGCTTGATAGCGATGACAAGCCAGTTGTGATCTGGTGGCGGCAACGACTCAACAACAATAGTCAAAAAACGAACAATGGGGATGGTGGTATGGTAGCAGTGGCGGCTAGTCAGTAGCAGTTCGATGGTACTAGAGCTCTTGAACCTTCAAGAGCATGTATTTACTCATCTTTCTTCTCTAGGTCTAGATCCCTTCTCATAAAAGAGTAGTTGTTTATTTATAGATTTTCCGAATGACATTCCCTATAAATACTATATGAATACAGACCACTCCATCAGATGCCCCAAAGTAATTTCTGTGATTGGATGGTGTTTTATAACCAATTAAACTACTGAATGATGTTATAGTTAAGTAATCTTGAGCTCATTGGATCTTAGTTTTTGAGACACTCAATTTGACTATAACTTTGCCAAATTTGGAGATCAAAATATATTTCAAAACTTTTAACTATGCTTTAAGTGTGTGATTTGAGTCAACATGAACTCGAGTCGTGTCAAGGCCTGACCTGGGAGCTTCGAATTACCAGGGCGGGAACTGTCGATCGGGCAGAGGAAACCTACGTAATAATTTTCCTTCACAACAAATTTAAAAACCAAAGCACAAAAGAGTAATTATAATTCATAAACTTATATTTGAAAGAGATTTTTTATATTTAAACATTTACATTTAATAAAAATAAAACTAGACTAAAATACCTATCAAATTTCGCTCCGCGATGCCTGTACATGTACTCCCTGGTTTCCATCCAGTCAACAACTGGTCTTCCGGTGAAATGTTAGCAACCAAATTTTGCGTTAAAACTACTCAGTGGACAAATGGTTCTAAATTATAATAATTCTCATTTTAAATTTTCTTTGTAAAAGCCCAATAACAGTAGAAGAGAGCAGTAAAGAAAATTGTTTCATTTTCTTTCAATTATTTAGGTTACAATTTTCAAAATTGGGAGACACCGTCTAAACGTATACTTTATACAAATATACATTTAGTCTTTTCCAACTCACCATAAAGACGTAAGATATTTTTTATTTTCATTTTCGTGCAAGGTTACATTGCATTCTCCTGTCAGTATCATCTAGGGGTGACTCTCATATCCATACATATATCATATTTTTTCTATTTTTTTGCATTTAACATTAAAAAAAACATATACTTTTACATTTAAAATAAAAGTTGTAAGATAATAAATAAACCGAGCTATTCTAATATGAAACTCATTTATCCAATTAAATAATAAAGAAAACATGTTATAAAAAGTTTGTAGTTCATTTCCTCAATTTTCTAGGCTTTTGGGTACACTTATAATAACAATTTAAATCTAATTAATTTTTTTGTTCATGGCTAATCTTCTCTCATATGAATTCTACATTTTTTATCATTATTTTCATTATGTATTAGCTAATTAGTTATCTATATAAACATATATACATGTATATGTATTATGTAAACATATATACAAATATATATTGGAATATCCTATTAAATGTTATTTTAAAAAACCTAAAATTTTTATTTGGGTAAACCTAACATTAATAACAATTTAACTATAAATTTGTTTTAAATCTAGGTGTATAGTACAAAAATGGCAACATAAATCTTAATGGAATCGAACAACCAGAAATGGAGACCTAGACAATTGAATTTCCGATCTAAAGAACAGGAAATCCACCAGCTAATAAGTTGAACAACTTTTACAACGAAATGGATTGGCATAAGCTTTTGACTGACAGAAGCTTTTGCCTGATAGATCATCGACTGATTGACCTCTTGTTGGAATCAAATGACTTCCTCTGATCGGTCGACTGACATAAGCTTTCGACTGACATAAGCTTTTGACTGATAGATCATCGACGGATTGACCTCTTACTGGAATCAAATGACTTCCTTTGATTGGTCAACTGGTTCCTCGGCACAATGGACCGATTCAGTTGACCGACATAAACAACAAAGGGGCTCGGTATCGATGGAGTTCACATGGGATTCAGTGAATCAAGATATTTAATAGCAAGTCTAGGAGTTGCGGGACTAGATGATGGGTCAATTTGAGACCCTTTGAGAAACACACTTTTGAAGGAATGATCAAATAATACCTATATAGGTGGGATCTCATAGAACTCGCTCTCTAAGGGGTTCCCCTGGAGCATCCGCCAGCACCTAATAGACGTGTGAGCAATCGGGTGACGGGGGGTCTTTAGAGACAATAAAGGCTCCTGCAAACTATTTTTCTACAGCCCTATGATTGCTCAAGATGCACTTGAAACTGAAATAGCTGCTCTTTGTTGGGCACTTCATATTGCTATTCAGTTAAAATGGGTATATACAATGGTTGAAACTGATTTCTCCCTGCTCATCCAGTTGATTGAAGGATCCATACCTCCTCCCTGGCATATACTCCAATTGCTTAAATCCATCCACAAATACAAAAAACAATGCCAACTTCAGCTCCACTTCAATTACAGAGAAGGAAACAGACCAACAAACTAGCTAGCAAGAATGGCTAGTCAATCAGATGTCTCTTTAGTCTCTACTATTCCTCCCTCTTCTCTATCCTTTTTGTTAAAGGGAGACCTATTACAAGTTCCCTATAT